TTTTTTTTTTTTTTTACCATACACAATTTTCGCCTTAAACCTTGATTTCAGAACCTCAGCCTGGGTAAGATTCTGTGCGTGTACCACAAAGAATCCAATTCATGCACGTGTGATGATCACAAACAAATCACAACCTGATCTAATGAAGATACAACACTAGTGACAGACTTCATCAAAGCAGCCATCAACAGGAATCATAATGAAACCAACCTGGAACACACGAAGTCATTAACAATTTGGAGTAACACATCTTGCTATGGGGCTGGAGTGACAGATAAGCATCCGTTGGCCAAAATAACCAGGGTTTATTGAAAAGGATAAGGCTTTTAGGTTAAGTCGATTTTCCAGAAATTTTCTCACATAAAAAAAGCTTTTATGGGGCTTAGTTGGTTGAACGTCTCACTCTTGATTTCAACTCAGGTCATGATCTTGTGTTTTGTGGGTTTGTTCCGCACACTGGGCTCTGTGCCTATAGTGTGGAGATCCCTTGAGTTTCCCTCTCTCCCTCTACTCCTCCTGTGCGTGTGCTCTCTCTCAAAATAAATAAAAAAATTTAAAGATTTTTTTTCCTCAAAGAACATGTAGGGATTTACAGGTAAATGGGCTGGTGAGGGCCTGAGTTTCCCCAAGGTGAAAGGGTCTCTGCTACCTTACTGACATCTTAACACAGATCTAAACAATAGGATTTGGAAAACCAGGCGATAACCTTTATACACTAGCACAATCTACAAAATGCCATCATATCCACCAACATACTATCAGTATATTTACACAGCAGTCATATGTTATAGTGGACATAATTTTCCTCTATGGAAATAGACGAATACTTAAAAATATAGGTATTTTTAAAAAGAGCCACTACTCAAGAGCCTAGTAATTGAATATCACTCTTCAGGAGGATACTAACCCTTTGAAAAAGTCCTGTTTGCTGAGTTTTTCTGACTGCACCAGCTGATACAGCAATTGGCCCATGTGATCCCTGGTGATCTGGCTCCTTTCCAGGGTGGACTCCACTCCCATTCTCACAAACACATGTAGGAGGCCCTGGGCATTCAGCTCTTCCACACACTGCATGGCTTCCTGTTCAAAGAACAAATAAAAGCTTACTCTAAAATCTGGATCCCATTACCAGAGTATTAAAATAAGTGTAAAATCTTTTACTATGACAAAGTCAGTAGAAAGCTCCACAAAGAAGCTAGTATTCATACATTTTTTCTTTAAACATTAAAATAGCTCAGTAAAATGCAGGCTGACATGGGCAACATTAGCCATATTTAAAAATAGTAGAATAGAGGATCTTAAGAAGAGTAATGTGCTTAGGTTAACAATTTTATTAATGATCACTCAAAGGACCAGAGTCAAAGTATATTTTTCTACAAAATGTGTACCTATCTTAGGACCATTTAAAAACCTGAAAATGGTATGTTAAGAAACAGAAATTCATCACCATGAGCCAAACGACTTAATGTGGCCAACTTAGGTACTTCTGGGTACATTAGTATTTGCAAAACTTTCAATGAGGAAGGTCTTCCTTCATATGAAAGTTAACATGGTTAGCTTAAGTGCTAACTCCTTTGTAGGAAGCTCCTGGGGTATGGAGCTCATGGAATGGTCCTTATCATGGGGTGATCTGGCGAGGTCTGTAACTCTGAGGCCTGGCAGCCACGGTTGCTGACTCACCAATACAGCAGTGTGCCTCCCTGCCCTCAGCTGCCTCAACTTTGAATCCAAAATTCTTCGGTTCAACCTCTGAAGAGAGTAGCTCTTCTGAGGGGGAAGATGCATGTGAGAAGAGCAGTCTCTTGACTGAAGAAGGCAGTAAGGCACACCTAGGTTTCTCACTGATGCTTTATTTCTCCTCTGCTCTTTTATATTTAATGCCTCCCCCACATCAACTTTTTATCTAACAAATTTTCAAACTACAGAGAATTGAATAATACAATGTACACATATATAAATTCACTTCAATCTAGATTCATCAATTGTTAATTTTTTAAAATATATATGTAAGAAATTTAATATCCAACACAATGTCAATAAAAATATTATCTGACAAATAGTACATATATGAAATTTCCACTACTGTCCCCAGAGTTTTTCGTTGTTGTTTAGGATCCAACTGAAAACCTGACATCACATGTCAGGATGCATGATGTCTTCTTTTTCTCTCTTCATCTTTTTAGAACATTCGCATTTTTGGAAACATTCGGCCCAGTTGTCATTTAAAACTGTCTTACATACACTTTTAAACCAATCAATCCCTTCTGTTTCCAGCCCCATCCGCAACTTATGTGCATTCATAGTCTGCTAAATAAATGACCACTCATCCTTCTAATTTCTAACCTCCAGAATGTTGATGCTATTTCCTATATACTTTATCCTTGTGAATTTTTACCTCATTTTAAAGACCATCCTCATTATAATGCTTTTTAGGAGAGCATGGAAATGAATACATATGTCTTTGGTATTTAATGTGACGTGATCCAGTGTCATACAATGGGAATCTATTCACTGAATCTGTGTGTAGTGTCAACTAACTATATTATGGTACTTTTAATGTCACAGCAATTCATAATCACGCTCTTCTCCCTGATTTTCTCATGGTCTGATTCTTATTTCACTGAGTACTCAGGTGAACTGATACCGCCTATGGTCTCTGTGACTGCCCAATCACTGCTATCATATCACCTAGTTTTACTTCTCTGCATTGAAACATTATTTTTCTTTTTATATCTGTTGTTTATTTATTATCTGTCATTAGGGCAGTTTTCTATCTCCCACTAGAACACAGGCTCCACAAATGACCCACAGCAAGAGACTATGTTGCTCACTACACACACTACAGAACATCCAGGCAGGATATCCTAAAATTGTGGCTGGCACATTTTAGTTACTCAATAACTATATATCACAGAGGCTAAAAAACATAGGGTGTGGAGTCAGATAAATGTATGTTTGAATCCTGGCTCTGCCACTTACTACTATGTGAATTCAGGAGTGTAATAATCTTTCAGGCTTGACTTCCTATCATAAGGTTACTGTGAGGAATGCACATAAAAAGGGACTTTGCATAGTGCTAAACACAAAACATATTAGTTTGTATTATTTTCAACACCTACTTTATTTTACTACTATATTTAACACCTACCTTAGCACCTACTAAGATGCTAGAAAAACCGTTTCCTTAGGATGAGCTCTGTGAGACATTAGCATAACACACTAATAAACTTAAAGGTAATCAAGTAAAGTATTGTCTCTGCTCTGAAGCTAGAAGCCTACTTTTACTTTACTTTTATTTATTTTTTTTTAAAGATTTTCTTGGCGCGCTTGGGAGGCTCAGTTGGTTAAGTGTCCGACTTCAGCTCACGTCATGGTCTTGCGGTTTGTGGGTTTGAGCCCTGTGTCGGGCTCTGTGCTGACAGCTCAGAGCCTGGAGCCTCCTTCAGATTGTGTGTCTCCCTCTCTCTCTGCCCCTCCCCCGCTCATGCTCTGTCTCTCTTTGTCTCAAAAATAAATAAACTATAAAAAAATTAAAAAAAAATTAAAAAGATTTTCTTTTTAAGTAATCTCAACACCCAATGTGGGGCTCACACCTACAACCCTGAGGTCATGAGTTACATGCTTTACTGACTTAGCAAGCCAGGCACCTTTAGAAGCCTAATTTTAAATCCTGAGTCGGCCACCAATCAGAAGCATGATTCAGATCAAGTTCGTTAACATCTCTGCATCTCAGTTTCATTATCTATAAAATAGCTATAAATAGTATTAATATCAGGAGGGCATTATGAGGATTAAATGAACTAATGGCACCTAGCACACAGTAAACCCTCACAGTTTGACAATATTACCTGCTTCTTATCATCAACCTGCAGATCTGCCTTGTACATTGTACAGTGAAATATCTGAGTCACAATGGACTGTGTTCCTTCCATATTACAGGCCAGGCCTAGGGCTAAGATCTTTCAAAGAGTCCTCCTGTTGCACTCATGTGTTACTAAGGTCTTTTTCAACCTATGGCTCCCATTCATCACAGAGTCATACTTTTCTCCTTTCAAAGTTTTTGTTGCTCATTGACTTGGTATATCCTTTCCAACTAACTGGCTCATCATCAAAATCTCTTAGTACTTCTGAATTTTAGGCCATTTCAAAGGCTTGAGGGCTTTAGAAAGCTAGGTTATAGTTAATCAAGGTGACATGTATAGAAAGCAGATAATGGCTATACTGTCAAGAGAACAAATAAGCTTGAAAGAATTCTTAATACAATGCTAAAGCAAAAGAAGTTAATATATCTGAGAAATGATTAAGACTTGTCTGACTCCAGATCCCTAAGCTAGGTCCTATTATATGAATCTCCCCTAAGATCCTAGAGGTCTACTGGCATTTACTATAACTACAATTTAAATACCTATTTGTTGAGTTAACTCTTTATGATCTGTCTCCGTCATTAGACTATAGGGCTCATGAAGTCAGGCGTTATGTCTATTTTATTCGCTACCATCTTAAAATGAAGATGAAAGAGAAAGTTAGGGTTAAAGAACAGCAAATTCAAAGCTGTGTCTTAAATGTTTCACTTAGGCTGTCTGGCCCCAACACAGTGGGATTACTCCTTGGTGCATCAGGTTTCCACTTACGAAATAGAAAGTAATGCCAGCCGTAATTTAAAGTTAATACAAGAATGACCATAAAAGGACTGTGAAGATCATGACAGGTAATGTACAGGGAGGTAGGAATGCCAAATAAAGATAACGTGTGGGTTTTGGCTCAAGAACATCAAAGTCAGTGTGGTTTTCCCACTGTGGGGATGGACTGGTAGTCATTTCCCCTTCCTGCCACGTGATCTTGTGTCCTCCATTATTTATTTAAAAGAGAATAGCTGATAAGAGTGCATCCGAGTTGTGCAAACCAAACTGTATGAGACCTGGATTACTCCGAGTCTTAGTGACAAATGCTTTAGACCAGAGCCAAGTTACTGTATCTCTCTGCTGCAGGGATTTCTGTGTTGTTGCCTTCTTTTTTTCCAAACTTCATTTACCTTAAAATCATTAATGTGTAGAAATTCATCGATGATAGATTTAGACTTCCTCTCCATCTCCAATTCTGACAATGCAGGCTTGTCAGGGGCTGATGTTGCTGGAATTTCTGGTTTTGCTACTAATGAGGTTAAAAAGAGTGAGAAAGTAAAAACGACAAAAATTGCAATTAAGATGGCAGGATTATGGTTGACAATATTTATTTGTTGTTACACTGATTTTTCCATAAAAGCATTAACATAGATACAAATCTAAGAAAGCAAGACACCTAAAAGCAGAAAAGAGAAATATTTATTTTAGCATAGATAGATAGGCACTAAGTAACTTCACATTCTACAATTAAAAGAATATAAGAACATACGGCAAATGTTTATAATTAGAGCTTTTCTGGCCCTGTCTGCATTTTGGTTCTTTTCCACTGTTTCAGTGATGAAGAGCACGCAGAGCTTGTACCATCCTGCCCAGGGCTCTAACCACACTGGTCACGGGCAGTTGTGTGACTACGTGGTGCTGCTGCTCCTGGCTGCAGTGATTTCTCTTTGCTCTAGACCCCTCCCTTCCTATAAATCTATTCTAAGTCCTGTTCATCAGACCTGAGGGAAGCCTTCCTGATATCCCTCTGTATCAATTCTAGATAGTTCCTTTGTTAAGTACCTTTCTAGAACTCTGTTCCTCTCCTTCATAGCATTTTTCTGTTTGTACTTATCAGAAAGCCACAGGTCCCTCAAGTTAAAAAATCTGAAGTCTATCAGCTGGGAGAAGACATTTCAATTTGCCTCTGAATCCATTTAGAGACTATAGTTAGGAGACAAAATTTTAAATTGTAAAAAAAAAAAAAAAAAAAAGTAAAAAAAATTGAAAGCTATAAAAATGTTATAAACAACCAGCATTACCTCAGGATTAATATTTTAAAGATGCTGAAAATTATCTTTAAGCTGTTTTTCATTGTCATCATCATCATCATGACATTTAATACCTTTTGAAAAATCTGTATCAGATAAAGTTCTAAATATTTACCTGTATAGACTTCTCATTTAATCTTCATAACTCTACAGGGTGGGCACATTTACCATCCCCACATTAACACATGAGCAAACAGAAATGCAGACAGGTTATGTAAATGAGGTAATGAGCATTATCTGAGTTGGTCCTCTAATGATATACATGCTAAACACGTACAAAGGTCACAGATACTACCAAGATGAAGGTAACAAAAGACAATCTGATCTTTTCTCTTTGGTTTGCTTTGAATGCCAGAATTTGGAGGGCTCCACAAAGCCCATGCACTGTAATGCACAGTAAGGGGTTATTTTGAGAATCTGTTAAGAAATTCAGATTGCTTAATATACACCAAGAGACCCTCATCACCATCACATTTAATAGAGAATGAGGAAAACATATGAATTATTGAACAAAGGGATAACCTGGGAAATGGGCCCGATGTTACAAAACTATGAAGATGCCCTCTACCTTTTAAGATACTGGAATGTTATTATCATGTAATGATTCTGAAACCTACACAGGGACAGAGTCTTTTTCATTCCACATTAAGGCCTCCATTTTCTTTCTGTATGTGTGTATCAAGGCTCTCACCTGACTCCCGGGCCTTGCTTCGGTCGGCCTCTGCGCTGTTCCTCTCCACGTCCAGGCCTCCTGTGAGCTGCTTCACCGTCTCAAGCATCTCCCTGCGCTGCTCTTCCTGAGACTGATTGTCCAACAGGTCTTTGCTGCTGCCGCCTCTCATGAAAGTATTGGGACGGGCTGCTGCAGGCGGCAGGGGCTTGTCATTCTTCTCCCTGCCCATGCTTCCACGACTTAAAAGACAAAATATGCTTTGTCAGAAGAAAGACCACCCCATCCACTATGCATTCAAGTTATAAAATAACATTAAGATTTTCTAAAAGCATGTTAATTTTCACACATGACTTTAGATATGTGAGGCACCAATTCTACTTCAGACTCTAATCATATAAACAAGTAAAAATCAGTGCTTCCAGAGAATGTTAAGTATGCCTTAGTTTTTTTCATGAATATTAAAGTGATACTACTTAAGATTTTAAAATGCAATAGCAATTCTTTTAGTTTTTTAAATCATCTAATAAAGACGACAGTGATGACAGTATGCGCTAAAAAAGTGAAAAGGGATCAAGAATATCCGACAAACATGTTTTCACTATCTTAAAAATTAGACAATGATACAGTATTTATTCAGAAACTTCAAATAAAAGTAGAGTATTTTGAGAACCAAGTAGCAGTAGTAGTTTTTGAATGGCCAAAGTCACATACTTTATGTAAGAGAGAATATTCTTATTTCCCTAGTCTCTTTTTCAGACAGTTCCCATCATTTGGGCAAGTAGTTCCTTAGCCCATCGCAGGGCAGGAGCAGCAAATGAAAAGGAAGAGAGGAGAAAGGACAAGAGGCATGACAGTGGTCTAACCTCTGAAAGAACAGACACAAGTACTCAAAGAGTAGAGCCATCAGGGGAAATCTATGTCAGGGCAAAGAGCCACTAATGATGCTTCATGACAAGCTGAGCCATCACTAGAAGTTGAATTGTGCTAAGCATATTTTGTTGTAGAAGCCAAGAAAACAGCAACATAGTTTAGAAAGTCTACCTGGCCAAATGGGCTACAATAATAAAAAAGGAAACTTTGAGAGCTTAAGGCAACTGCAGCTCTAAAAGTTCTTATGTTGAAAATATTGAGGGGTACCTGGCTGGCTCAGTCAGTAAAGCATGTGACCCTTGATCTCAGGGTTTTAAGTTCAAGTCCCACACTGGGTGTAGAGATTACTTAAAAATAAAATCTTAAGAAAATGAAAAATAAAAATTTTGTTCCTGGCATTATATTATAGGTCTACATTCCTTATAAACCAACCGACAGAACACTTGACTGTATCAATCCTACATAAATGAAAGTAGAACAGTACAATACAGAGAATAGTAAGAAACAAAGGATAGCAGAACTTGAAGAACAGTGTGACAGAGACACATATGGGTGGGCTGTCAGGCCCTTTAATTCACATGCTTTAGAGTGTTAGGTTATCTAGAGCATCCTGAGGCCTTAGTTTAGTGAACCCCCCCACCAGCCTCCGGGCTGTTTGGATGGGTCTGGCTTTCTTAAGAAGCAAACTGTTATACTGGGGTGCCTGGGTAGCTCAGTCAGCTAAGTGTCCGACTTCGGCTCATGGTGAGTTCGAGCTCCTCATCGGGCTCTGTGCTGACACCTTGGAGCCTGGAGCCTGCTTCGGATTCTGTGTCTTCTGTCTCTGCCCCTTCCCTGCTTGTGCTCTGTCTCTCTCTGTCTCTCTCTCCCAAAAATAAATAAACATTAAGAAAAATTCTTAAAAAAGAAACAAACTATTATAAACTTGGCAGGTAACTTGCCCTTCCTTTCTACCCCATCCCAAATCCACCACAATTATGTTCTTATCTTATGTTCTATATCTAAATTATAGAACGTGAAGATCAAAGGAAAAGAAAAAGAAAACCAACCTCAGGGATAAAAGAAATCCATGCACAGAGATGATAATCATAATGTGTGTGTGTGTGTGTGTGTGTGTGTGTGTGTGTGTGTGTGAGTGAGTGAAAAGGGAGAGAGGGAGGGAATAACTGAGAAAGAGAGAAAAGGAGAGGGAGAGAAACAGACATCCACAAGCAGGTCAGTCTTCGGTTAACATGGAGAGTGGGCTTCATACCTGGTTAAGGTCCGCCGGGAATCAAACTCTAAAGGTGTAGATGATGTAGACCCTGAGGGTGCTGGAGGTTGCAAAGCAGAGAATCTGTTTAAACTGGAAGCACTTGACCGTAAGGCATCTATAGGTGTTGAGGATTGAGGGGGGAAAAAATACAAATCACATGACTAAAAGGTTCTTTTTAATTCATCTGGCTCTCTACAAAGAAAAGGGGGGTTTGTTCGAGACTAGGTTTTTTTTTTTTTTTTTTTTTAATTTCTAGGAGAGAGAGAGAGAGATAGCGTGAGCAGGGGAGGGCCAGAGACAGAGGGAGTCACAGACTGAAACAGGCTCCAGGCTCTGAGCTGGCAGTCAGCACGAACCCAAACCCATGAACTGCGAGATCATGACCTAAGCAAAAGTCGGACGCTTAACCGACTAAGCCACCCAGGCACCCCGAGACTAGGTATTTCTAACAAGTGTAATAAGGTGATGCCAATCTTCTGGTCCACAGACTATACTCTTAGAAGCATAATGTTAGAAGGAATTTGTCTGCCAAAAAAATTATTTTTTTAGAAATCTTTGTTCATTACAACCATTTGCTGCTTTAAACTATCCTATACAGGGAAGGGGGCGGGAGTGGTAAGTAGGGAGGGAGGGAGACAAGCAAAAACAAAACAAAATACTGCACTTAAAAAAGCTAACTAATGGGGCACCTGGGTGGTTCAGTTGGTTAAGCCTCTGACTTCGGCTCAGGACATGATCTCACTGCTTGTGGGTTCGAGCCCTGCGTTGGGCTCTGTGCTGACAGCTAGCTCAGCTAGCTCAGAGCCTGGAGCCTGCTTCAGATTCTGTGTCTCCCTTTCTCTCTGACCCTCCCCTGCTCATGCTGCCTTTCTGTCTCAGAAATAAATAAAACATTTAAAAAAAAATTAAAAAAAAAAAAAGCTAACTAATAAAGGGGCACCTGGGTGGCTCAGTCAGTTAAGTGTCTGACTTGATTTCAGCTCAGGTCATGGTCTCAGGGTTTGTAGGATTGAACCCCACATTGGGCTTTGTGCTCACAGTGTGGAGCCTGCTTAGGATTCTGTGTCCCTCCCCTGCTAGCTCTCTCTCAAAATAAATAAATGAAATTTAAAGAATCAAAGGTCAAAATTACTTAGTGGAAGGGAAATATGGAAAGCAAGTTAAATTAAAAGTTTTATTCTACCATTTATAAAAGGTTAACATCTTATACTTTCTACTGGACTTCCTCAGCTTTAAGATGTGTTTGTGGGGGTGCCTGGGTGGTTCAGTTGATTAAGTATCTGACTTCAGCTTAGGTCTTGATCTTGCAGTCTTGAGTTCAAGCTCTGCACTGGGCTCCATACTGACAGCTCAGAGCCTGAAGCCTGCTTCGGATTCTGTCTCTTCCTCCCTTTGCCCTCCCCCACTTGCACTCTGTCTCTCCTCTCTCTCTCTCAAAAATAAACATTAAAAAAAAATGTGTTTCTGATGGTCTAAACATTTAAGTCCTCAGGTTAAATTTCTGAAAATATAACTTTTGATAAAGATTTTGAAAAATATTTCAATCTAAGTCCTTTACAACTCTCTTATCCAATTCTTTTCCTCAGCAGAATGAGTTTCCTCTTCATCTGCGATCCCAGTAATTCTCTAATTATATTGAATTTGTGACCACCACCAACAAAGGAACCTAAGAGATTAAAGTCTTAAATAGCCTAATTGAACTAAAAAAACTCCAAATATTTAAAATACCTGAAGATCCACATTGCGAGGGACACCAGTAACGTCGGGCATGCTTTGTCTATAGATCTGTTCCTAAAAACATTACTGAATGATGTGGGAACATACTACACGGCGAATACCAGACCACACCCAGGTTCCCAAGAAGGACACGCCACACTTACCGGTCTCGCTTGCCTTTGCTCCACCACTGCTGCCCTTTCCCCAACTGCCCAGCTGTGCTTTAGGTACCAGCTGAATTTTCTCATCAATTGTGGGCTGTAATGTAAGTGACCACAAGCCAGTATTATAGGCAACGTTCTAGAATGGTTTATCTTTTTCCGTTCCATGCAGTGAAAACCAACTTTAGCAATAAGATAGTGCTTGGAATGCCAATTTAAGAGATATAAAAGGGAGCTGTCCATATTCAAGTGCCATTGTGGTGCCCCCTGAACTACTTGCTTAGAATCCAGTTTCCACAGAACAGTTTAGAACCACTGGTCTGGCGGATGCGTTCAGGTCCTCTAGGATGGTGTGGCGTTTGACTAAATGTAAGCACTTTCTAATCATTCCTCCTATCCAGTAATGCCCAGTGATTTAAAAAAGAAGTAAAGGAATATATGAATTGTGTATACTACAAAATTAAGTCCTTAATCTCTCTTCATATTATTGTCAGAAAACAGGTCAGAAGGCACAAAGATTTCACATTTTAGCAGAGCCTGATACAGGTGGGGGCTGAGGATGGAGAAATGGAATGGCAGCATTCAATACAGGGGAATAAGACAAAAAGCAAATATAGTATTAGATGGGAAGTTAGGATGCCAGGCTCCACAGGGAATACAACATTTGTACATGTGAGTAGAATTACAATGTAATACTAATTAGAAAACATATACCACAGTAAGGTACAATGTAGCTCTTTGTAAAAGAAGGGTTAATACACTCTAATAGCACTGCCTAGCTCTATGACAGGCTTTCACACAAATCTCTGCCAGTTAACAATGCATTTGTTTACTGGTTTTGAACATTTTCTAGGATATTTAAGTACAGTACCTGTAGTATAACTGTTTGAATATACACAAAACTTATTTAAAAACACCTTCAAATCTTTTAAAATATTCAGGAAATAATGCTGTAGCTTAATATCAGCACTGTGCTTTTTTATAGTATCCATGCATGGAAACCGTATTTAAAAACACAAACGCTGTTATTCAGTATAGAAAAAATTTTCAAAGATGTTTGGGTTGACACTGGAGAAATTCTCTAAATGTGTAAGATTTTGGCTAAAACCATCTCTTGCTAGAAATGGATGGGAATCAAGCTGTATTCAGAAGTGGAATCCCTGCCCTGAGACATAAACAACTAGAAGAATTTACCAGAATCTTAGAGAATAGGATCCTAGCTAATTAAAATCAAGTGAGAAAACAGCAAATGTTCTAAGCTAAAGCAATCCTTTGACATGAAGATGCAAATGACACCCCATCTTCTTCCAATTTTCTCAAACTCTTTTTCTTTCTGTCAGTTATCTTCCTTCATCTGATGTTTTCGTGTTAGCGTTAGATTGCCTTTGGTACCCTACCAGCAGAATGCCAATTTTCAGAACTATGGAAAGTGTATTACACAAGGAAGGTTCAAATCAGACTTGTAAATGATTTGTAAACCTACCGGGCTGTAGAAGTTTCCACTTTTACAAAAGATACTGCCACTTTCTCTATGTTCTCCAAGGTTCTTCACCCTACTTAGAGTGATCAACTTCTGCTGAAGACATCTGCCCGGAAAAACCTCCTTCCCCGTGTTACCACCATGGATTCTCCAGGGAGAGGAGGGCAGAATGTATTAAATCTTTATCACAGAATGATTTCTAGCAGTGGGTCCTCTTGATTTCTAGTAGGCCTTGGACATGGCAAACTGTTAATTCCTTTCAAGTTAGGCCTAAACAGGTAGATGCTTCTTCCCCAGAGCTAAAGATACATTGTATAAAAGCTTATAATCGACTACAGCTTTTGAAATATCTTTATTACCATCTCTCTTATATTAAGCATCTGATAACTTTAAGAATTAAACTAGTCTCTTCCCCCTTAGTAAACTCTCCAAGAAATAAAAAGGACTAACACCAGGACAAGTACGTAAGAATACACTGATAAATACAGACTTGTAGCAAAGCATCTGTTTTGAAAAACCACTCCCTCATAAACTTTGCAATATAGCTGTTTTACATGAGCAAGAAATAATTCTGAGAGTCCCGTTCTCAGGTAGTTGTTGTGTTGTAAATGTCATACTCACCTTAGTGATTTTAAGGAATTTTGAGGGGTCTAGTACCCGACTATTCTTGGCCCCCTGTACAGTGTTCCATCCACCTTCATCCACTCTCTGGACACCTGCAGGGAGAACAGAGTGAGTCAGTTTCTCACAAACTCAAGTCAGTTTGATAATGAAAGAGTGAGCACTATTTTCAACTCAGCAGCTCCAATCAAAATCAAGGAAAAAGACAAAAAAAAAAACTGTTAAAGCACTGCTGACAGTCTTTTTAGTACCTACAACATGAACATGTCACATAGAAATACTGTGGAACATGCCCGACCGAGAGGAAATTAACTGATAAAATGAATAGAGATTTGGTGCTGGACAAAGGAGGGCCAGATCTAATGTTTATAGCTAATGATTATAACACTTCAGATGGAAATTATTTACTAGAAAGCTTATTTCATTTAATGGTGTTAAATGACACAGTGTACTTGGATCACCACCCGCTCACCACGCCCCAGTCTGCTTCTCCAACATATCGACTGCTCAGGCAGAAAACCCTGACTCCTATGTCTCTCACACTTGGCACCCAATTTGTCAGCAAATCTTGTCGGTTTGACATATTCAGCATCTAGCTCTTATTACTGCAAACACCACCACTTTGGTTTTCACCACTAACATTTCCTCGATTAGTAATAAAACCATCTTCACTAGTTTCTCTGCTTCCACCCTCAACTGTCTGCATCATGGCGGCCAGCAAGACCCAAATAAAGTACAAGTCATGTCCTATCACTTCTGTGCTTAGAAACACTTCCATTATCTCTCCATTTAACTCAGATAAAATCCCACATTGTTTATGAATGGCCTCCAAGCTCTGATTAATCTGGACTCCTGCCTCTCAGGCCCCATCCTCCACTACTCTCTCCCTATGTTCTCTGCTCCTACCACACTGGTCTCCTTGCTATTCCCTGAAAATGCTACTTCAAGAGCCTTTTACTTACAATTCCCTTTGCCTAAAAACCTTTCCCCAGATATGCCCATGGCTTAATTCCGTTACACTTGCTTCAGGTCTTTGCTCAAACACCAACTTTAGCAGGCGCTCAAACCACCCTATGTAGAATTACACATCAGGGTGCCTGAGTGGCTCCGTTTGTTAAGCATCTGACTTTGGCTGAGGTCATGATCTCATGGTTTGTGAGTTTGGGCCCCACATTGGGCTCTGTGCTGACAGGGCAGAGCCTGCTGTGGATCCTGTCTCCCTCTCTCTCTTTCCCTCCCCCACTCGCATGTTCTCAAAAATAAACATTTAAATAAATAAATAAATAAATAAATAAAATCGCACCTTTACCCACCAAGCCTGGCATCACCCGCTTTCTCCCTCTCTGCTTTATCTTTTTCTCTAGAAAAAGTGATCGGACAAAATTACATATTTTATTTGAGTATTTATTGTCTGTCCCCCGGGTAAGGTATGACATAGGCTGCATGAAGGCAGGGACTTTACTTTGTCTCTCCTATTAAGTGATGGGAACTTATACGCGTTGAAAGACAGACGACCAAGCTGTCTACCTAACAGCCTCTCTGACCCTCACACACGTGGCTGTCTTTGTGCTATCTGATGTTACTGAGCATGAACAAACTTGTTTCTTGTTTGTTTCTTATATCCTAGTACTCCTTCCTCTGCAGTTGTTCTTTATCTGTCAATTTTCCAAGAGTCCTCTTCTTCCTTTAGTCCTCTGTAGACATCTTCCATGGACTGGGTTCTCTATCTAGTTCAATAATAAATAAGAGTCATTACGTGAAAGGCACTGTGCTAGGTACTAGGGAGAGGAAGGTGAGGAAGCATGGTGTCCCACGGAACTTAAAAGTACACTTTCTTTCCTAGAGTATTCATCTCTCATGTGTTCAGTATGAGCTCTATGGTCTGTGCACCCGTTGCTAAGCTGAACACTTGACACACTACACTTCTTTCCACCCTCACACAAATCCTAGGAACCACTCTATTGGATCTGTTTTACAGATCAAGTGACTTGTGCAAGGTCATACAGCTAGGATGCAGGAGAGCTGAAATTCAAATGCACACAGTTGATTCCAGTCTATGCTCTCAACCACAACGCTGCTATGAGCTCCGGTGACTGCCGGCTCACTCAACAGCAGGGCGGACAAGTAAGCGTTCCCATCTGGATGCTCTCCTGCCATCTCAACATAAACAGGCTCATGAGAACACTGATCATTTCCCTCCTAAAAAAGGTTTCCTCTTCCAATGTTCTGAACTCAGTCAATGGAGTTTCTACTTTCTCAGGTGTAAAATGTCCTCCATTTCACCTTTCATAGTTTCTCCTATTTCTTCCACTTTATAATTATTATTACCAGGATTGCAGCAGGAACAACATTTCCAAGTTCAGTGTTCCCCTTTGATTCATCGTGTTAAAAGCAACAGACTTTTTAAAAATTTATATACATCCAGCATGACATTACCCTTTCTTCAAAACTTCATACTGGCACTTTAATGTCTAAGATATCAGTTCTTAATCAGGCTCCATTCTTCCAGACAAACATTTCTCACTGATTCTGAATACTTATATTTTGCTTCAGTCAGGTTTGTCTATGCCTCTTTACAGTATATGTTTATTTTAATTTCATGACTAAGATTATTCCTTTCCTTCCAAATATTTATCATCCACCAGGACCCAGTTCAAGGATGCCTTCCTCAAATAAAGATCTCTTCCAGCTTCCTATCTTTCTTCTCCTCTTTTGAATTTTAACAATCTTGAGAATACATTTCATACTTGATAATATCTTCTACTTATTTGACAAATGTACCCTTTATTAGTTTGCCTTCCCAAATAAACTGTAAGCTTTCAGAGCAAAGCTGTATCTTCCACCTCTTTTTACAGCCCTCACCAATACGGAGAATAGAGAAGATGCTCAATAAATCTGGTTGATTACTGACGTTAAAGTAGTCAAAGAAACCATGTTTCGTCCTGCATTCTTGGCGAAACTGCTTCACTTACCAATTACCACTCTATTGTTCAGTTTATTCTTTCTGATGTCATACCTAAATACTCTTAAACATCTGTCCCTCAACCTCCCAAGTTTCCCTAACACCCCAGGGGACTCCACCCCTTCCTTACCTGTTCTTCTCTTCTCTTTGGTCATGAGCTGCTGGACCTTCCTTTGCTCTTCTTGTTCTTCTATTTTAGCCTCTTTGTGAATCTGTTCAATAGTCTTAGGCCCTTGATCTGCTCTTCGAGATACCCAGTTGCACTATAAAAGGAGAAAATAACATTATCAACCAGGAAACGAAAAATGAACATAAAAATTTTTTATACTTCTCACTGCTGGACAAGTGTAAAATACACTTAAGATCTGTACTACAACAGGTTTTCATCTGCCTTACAGATGCATGACATGCAGTTTGAGATGAGATATAAAGAACTGAGTTCTTCTCACTCAGTGCTGAATTACTGTATACCGAGCATTCCAAAGGCCAATGAAAAAAAATAAGAGTGAAAGACTAGCCCAGATGTATTTAAAAAAATTTTTTTAAAATGTTTTTAATGTTTAATTTTTGAGAAAGGGAGGGAGAGAGAGAGAGATTCAGAGTGTGAAGAGAGAGAAGGAGACACAGAATCTGAAGTTGGATCCAGGCTCTGAGCTGTCAGCACAGAGCCAATGTGGGGCTCAAACTCACAGACCTGGAGATCATGACCTGAGCTGAAGTCGGATGTTTAACCAACTGAGCCACTCAGGCCCTACCCACCCCCCCCCCATGTATTTTTTAAAAATCATCTTGTGGGGCACCTGAGTGGCTCAGTTGGTTAAGTGTCCAACTCTTGGTTTTGGCTCAGGTCATGATCTCACAGTTTCATGAGTTTGAGCCCCATGTCAGGCTCTGTGCTGGCAGCACAAAGCCTGTTTGGGATTCTCTCTCTCTCCCCGTCTCTCTCTGCCCCCCTCCCTGACTTGTGCTGTCTCTATCTCAAAATAAATAAACTTCTAAAAATTTTTTAAAAAATCATCTCGTATATTTGTAAAGAGGAACCAGAAGAGGAATCAAGAAAGCTCAGGATTCTCTGGCCTTGCCTTAATCTGGGTTATTGGTACCTAGTTCCTACCACATTCCATGGGGGCTCTAAATCATGGATGACTAGCATTTTTTCAACCTATCTCACTGTTCTGATATCCTGCAAAATCTGTCTGGCCTTTGGTTATCCTATTTCGGACAAGTTACTCCTTATAATTATATTTCTTCCTTTCCTTCCCACCATAATCCAAACAACTCATATAAATACAAGTAGTAGAGGGCATGACTGAAGAAGTCTTTTATATTTATTTACATCTGCTAGAAGCAAGGAGCAAATACGTTTTAAATCAGCACACAAATTCTGATCAGCTGGTGGCGGCTTTGGTAATAAAAAGGATCGCGAGATCACATTTAACCTTAGCAAGATAAAGAATCATCATCAATGCTATCTGGTCTGGGTACAGGGCAAGGATGAGGCAGGACTTGCATCCACGTTCTCTAGTTTAGGGTCAGCTGCAGTATATTCCCTGTAGGAGTTAAAATCAGGAGAGATAAAAGAGGTGGCAGCGGTAAACACTGCACGTGTTACGAGAAATGAGAGGAAGCAGCAGCAGCACAGGGCGACACAGAGGAAAAACAACAGAGAAAAACAGCAACGTCTCCTATGAGCTGGACACTTGACATGATCACTTCAGTGAGTCTGTACAACACATGTGCAAGGTAGGCAACATCCCCATCTTAGAGAATAGAAATCTAAGGCTCAGGATAGTGAAATGGAATCATTTTGAAGATAAGAACTCCTGAATATTTAGTAGCCCAAGACTAAATTTAACTGACCACAGTTTGAATTCAGAATGGCTGATTTTAAAATGGCAATGTGGTTTGATAATGAGCTTAGAGGGAAGAAATCTACAGGTAGGTATATATGCTCTGTGTCCTTTCGCACAGCTCTGTCCTGGAAGTGTATCTACTCAGGTTCAGGTTCCTTACTGCAGCATTAAGTTTTTACCCATGTAAATACCAGGACATGCTCTCCAACCCAATCCATTACAAGAGACTGGAGTAGCTGGCTTACATTTTCTTACTTACCAGCCTTAGGTCTATCACATCTTGTAGCATGAATCGAATCCTAGAGGAGGTTTTTCTTTCTTTCACAATTTTCTCCATCTGATTAAAATACTGGTCCATACGTGGCTGCGAGGGACAAAACCATTCAGTATTCCTGACTGAGGAATTCAAGTGTAATTTTACCATTCAGAATTTTTAAATGGTTTAAGAACACAACTTATAGCCCAAAGGTATGTGGTACAATTTTTAATTAAGCATATGACACCCAATAAAGGTTACACATTCTGAGCAGCTGGCTGTAGTCATGTGACTGATTACAGGTAAACAGAATATAAATGGAAGTGTCATAATGCAGCCCCTGGAATCTTCCTTAAGAGAGAGAAGGCTTCCGTCCTTTGCCCATTTCCAACCTTCTCTGCTGAGGATGATAAGGACAAAGGCCATACGTTAGGGACGACAAAAGGTTAAGCTGGACGAACTGGATTATTTATCACCTCTGAGCCACCAGACCCGCCTCAGACATCTTACCTCTGAACTTTATTTACGTGAGTGAGAATAAATCTCAAACTTGCATAAACCACTGATATTTGGGATTTCCTGTCACAAACAAACATAATCCTAGATGATTCAGATGTTATGAAACATTTTTGACATTATTTATTTGAAGCAGTTCTGATTTTCCTACCCCTTATTTGGAAGACACATTATGTTTGAACCATAATATTTTTAATGATTTCTTTTATTATGGTTAGATAGCCTTGTTGCTAATTAGAGCATAAATCTAAAGAAACTACTAGTTCTGGGGCACCTGGGTGGCTCAGTCAGTTAAGCGTCTAACCTTGGCTCAGGTCATGATCTCATAGTGTGTGGGTCCGAGCCCTGCATCAGGCTTGCTGCTGTGAGTACAGAGCCTGCTTTGGGTCTTCTGTCCCCCTCTGTCTCTACCTCTCCCCCACTGATTCTCTCTCTCTCTCTCAAAATAAATAAACTTAAAAAAAAAAAAAAAGAAAGAAAACTACTAGGTCTTCACCTCGGTAGCACTCTCCATCCCATCGCAGCCCCACAACAGCTATTCTCCTCTTATTTCTGCCCATAATTTGTTATACAGACAAATGGCCTGTGAAAAGGTCATGCAGAAAAAGGACAAGGGACAAATAATCTGAACAATTTCCTTCATCTAATCTGGGACCGTCTTCACTTCTGCCCATGATGGAAAAGTGGTAAGGAGCTCGAGGGCCACATGCTCACAATGCGAAGGGCAAAAGAAGAAAAGCAACAGCCCAGACCACTGGGGTGAGATCGAACACTTCTGTCGACAGTCCCGACCGAGGCCCCAGTGGACGCTTCAGAGCCTGTGGGCTTTTACCTTTGCTTTCTCGAAGTCTAGGTCTTTGCCAATGGTGGTGAGCAGGCGGCACAGGCACTCCAGGGACTCCTCGTCATGGTTCTTCAGCAGCTTCACCACACAGTCATGCATGATGGCTTCGGTCAGCATCTTGAGTTTAAAGAGCTCTCCAATAAACTTGATGTTACCAATGGATCTCCGCCGGGCTTTGTCCTTCGCTTCTTCTAGCTCGTCATGAAGCCTCGTCCTCTCCTCTGGCTGTTGTGTAAGGAATGACAATAGAAGCACGATGACGACAAGTGTATGGCACAAGAGATGGTAACAACATACACACTCTGACTCATGGTCTTATCCTCGGTGGGGTCAGGGACACCTTTTGAGAATGTGACAGCAACTCTAGACCTACTCTAGTCAGAAAACTGAACTACACCCAAAAGTTTGCATCCATTTTAGGAGATTTCTGGAACTCTGGACCTCTCTGAAAGCTGGGCTCTGAATTCCTGTCTGAGAAGGTTGAGTTGCTCAAACATGCAGCACGAAAAGGAATAAAGCATTCCCCTAAACTTCAATATTGTATCTCCACATGAAGAAAGGCCATAAGGCATCTGCTGAAGTAGCAGGGAAATGTAGCCAGTTTCATGAAAATTCTATTTGATAACACTCAGAAGAAAAGCGCACTGCTTTTCTGTCAAAATACTCACAGCACTGGCAGCCTCGAGTTCTTTCTGCTTCTTTTCAAAGACATCATCATCTGCTTTATCTTTTTCAAACTCCTTCTGGCAACGGTTCAGGAGCAGCTTCCGGAAATTCACTGTGTTCCCAGGTTTGTCTGCCATGGGTACTTTCAGCTGTATCCATACAGGAAAATGCAAACACATCAAGATTACTTAAGACGTTCAATAATTTTCTCAAAATACGTATTTTCTTTATGGTACAAAATAATGCTGACTGAACTATAGGAAAGCTTCTAAAAGGGGTACACAAGTTAGCTTCAGGCAGTTTATGTTCAGTGGTAAGATGTCTTAAATTTCATGCAGAAAAGATACACATTCCTCTCATATAAATGTACTATATCTTTTATGGCTGGTTGTGCCTCTAGTTGATTTTGAAATCCATGCAATATTATAACATCTATGACTCTACCCCTACTAGACCTTTGTAACTCTATAGGGTTTATTCCTTTTGTTTTTCTATTACCACAATAGTAAGTTTAAAGATTTAAAGAACAAACAGAAATGACATAAAGCAGGGGACAATTTCACAGCTACAGAAAAACTTTTGTGCACAGGATCCTTATGCTAGGAAAAAAGCAGAAAAGGGACCAACTTAAGGATTTTTGAGAGATCTTGTCCTCAGGGGAAAGTCTTGGCTGTGACACTGATACTTACCTTGACTACCAATATACTATGTTTACTGGTTATTCTTATGTGCCAAAAAAAAAAAAAAAAATACTAGTTTTCCAAGAGTTCAATCTAAAAAGTGGCCACTTTAGAAACATTCTTTTGATACACTGGAAGACCCAGACTGGGCTGGGCAGACCACCGGAGGCAGGATGCATACAAACTTTCCAATCAAATCTCATAATTGCTTTCTAGTAACAGCAATAGCTGGTATCTTAAAGGTTACTTGTAACCAAACACAGAGACGTTCTTAGAAGAAAGTGAACTGGTGCAATGATGGACTAAAATATGCCATTTTATAGCTGAAATGCCCCAGAGTGCCCTTCTGAACAGCTATTGTGTAACATGGCAAGTGGATTTAGTGGAATCATAAAGTGAGTCCCAAAGTTCTGAAATGCATGGTCTTTGCCCTAAGTTTAATGCGAGAACCTGGTAAAAAACAGAATGCCCTGTATTAATACTCACAAAGAAGTTAATGTTATCAACCACAATGGACTTGGGAGAGCTGCTGACTCAGGCTGAATGGATAGAGAAGCTTCTGGAGAACTGAGTACTATGATGCTACACTGGGTCTGTGCTAGAATTGATGGGTACACTCTCCGAGAGATTCTCTATGACACATGAAAGACCCTTTAACAGACCAGTTCTTTTTTTTAAGATTTTAATTTTTAGGTAATCTCTATACCCAACGTGGAGCTTGAACTCACAACCTCGAGATCAAGAGTCGCATGCTCCACTGACTGAGCCAGCCAGGCACCTCAGCAAGTCCAGTTCTAATCAACCAAGAGAGTAACTGTTTTATTATACTCTTTTCCCCCAGCAGTGAAGAGGAAGAGGAACTCAGGAAGAGGGTAAGATTACCAAATATATATTTTTTTGACATGCATAAAAAAAAAAAAGTTAAGATGTCTTATCTCCAAATTCAGGTCCTAAAAATGCAAGTGACTACAGATCATTTCAGGCAGGTCTACTCCATAATTGCACATGAAAGCAGGCATTTAATCAGCCTTCAAGAAAAGAAATGCTGGGGTGCCTGTGTGGCTCAGCTGGTTAAGCATCTGACTTCGGCTCAGGTCATGATCTCACTAACAGCTCAGAGCCTGGAGCCTGCTTTGGGCTCTGTGTCTCCCTCTCTCTCTGCCCTTTCCCTACTTGTGTTCTGTCTCTCTTAAAAATAAAATAAACTTAAATAAAAGGACTACGTTTAAAAACAAAAAAGAAAGAAAAGAAAAATTCTACATGAAAGCAAAAGCCAAAAGTGGACTCTATTTAGGACCCAGAACATACAATAACGCACTACAAAAGAGAACCAAAAACCATATCCACGAGCAAGGTAGTATATAATAGAACAACAACATGATACTAGGTTCCAGAACAAACTAAAACTTTTAAAATTTAGCAGAAGAAAACATCAGCAGTTATTTCCAACTTACTGTTTCCTAGGAACACAGAAAACCAGCCAGATCTATCCAGCTTCTTGGGATATTTGCCAGCATCACCTATATTAATACTATGGGCATAACTCATAAGACAAAAATCACCTGGACCACAATCTATCAGCTCTGAGATGCTTCTTGTATTATGGATTGTACTGTACAGAAAATGGAAAGAATGTGGACAACAGTATGAAAATCTGAGCGACTGTCTCATGGTGAGAGGGACCAGAATGAAAATGAATCAAAAAGATTAAATAAATGTAACTTGTGACAATTTGGTTTACAGGAAACAAGTAGAAATGACACAAAGTAAGGGTGAGCTTCGCTATACAAAAAGTATAAAAAACTAAACCTTTTAGACCTTTTCCATAGAGAAGGCTATGTTGAAAGTATTGGGTTAAAGAACAGGAGGGGCACCTGGGTGGCTAAGTCAGTTAGGTGCCTGGCTCTTGATTGCGGCTCAGGTCATGATCTCATGGTCTGTGGGATCGAGTCCCATGTTTGATGGTACAGAACCTGCTTGGGATTCTCTCTCTCCCTCCCTCTCTCTCTGCCCCTCCCCTGCTCAGGTTCCCTCTCTCTCTCAAAATAAACAAACCTTAAAAAAAGGAACTTAAGATACTTACTTTTATTTTTTTTACATATATTTAGTTTTAAACAAAAGCCTTCTTTTCTTAAAAATGTTTATTTATTTGGGGGGGGAGGGCAGGGGTAGAGAGAGAAGGAGAAAAAATCCCAAGCAGACCACCTGGTGACAAGCCCGATCCCACAAATCATAAGATCATGATCTGAACCAAAACCAAGATTCGGATGTCTAACCAAATGAGCCACGCAGGCAGGCACCCCTAAAGGCAGTTGAAACCCAAGTTTCAGTTTCATTCTCCAGCACAAGGGGAACACAATAGCTGTGTCTAACCCAGAGTGCAGCTTTGAGCATGAAGTAGGTTTAGTGGAAGCACTCTGTAAGTCACAGAGAAGGACAGGATATTTGAAACACTGCACATTGAGCTTCAGTCCCATCCTCTGCAAAAGGAGACATTCCAATGACCATGCAGGTTATAAAATAGCTGTTGAAAACAGGAACTTTGGAGGCAGTCGTAATTCCAGCTCTGCCAGATGACTCTGGCCACGTTACTTAGCTTCACCAAACATCTCTTTCTACAGCGGGGATGATAACATCTTACTGGAAGGATTACATGGCAGCAGTGTAATACAAATGATAGTGGCTGGCACATCATCAAGCATCTAATAAACTAATACAGCTATATTTATATACTTGGAGCTGTATTTGACATGTTTATGATTAAAAACTAAGGGTAATCTCAACTATAGTAACACAGATACCATAGGAAGTATATAAACAAAGTTAGTTCACCAAGCAGTTAGGGAGAAAACCAATAGCAAGAGAAATGACTATCCGCCAATCCCAAATGATGACCAGGAGAGATTTCACATGTATAGATCATAAAAAACATGATTATGCAGAGATACAGTTGATGGAGATATTGAAATCAAACAGTCAGTGGAATGGCCACAGATCTGCAAGTACATTTATCTTCAAATAAATGAATGCCTTGCTATACTACCCCCTAAAGACTTGTTTTGGAACATGATTTTAATGCCCTCGGGGATGATTAACAGGGTGGAAATATGGAAATAGGCTAGTGAGAACATTCTTTGAGAACGATTGGTGATGCATGGTACCTTTTTTTTTGTTCTCAAGATGATAAATTCAACAGGGTTATGACATCATTAAGTCAGCCTTGTTGTCTGCTGGACACTGACGGGCCAGAAAACCCAATGAAATTGCTTAGTTAGAAGAGACATGAAGAGTGGATGTCTCGGTGTGCTAGGGTGGCTCTCATACATATCATAGAATAGGGGCTTAAATAATAGACATTTACTTCTCACAGTTCTGGAGTTTGGAAGTCTAAGGCTAAGGTGCCAGTAGATTCAGTTCTTAGTGAGCACCCTTTTCCTGGTTTACAGACAGCTGTTTTCGCATATATCTTCTAGTGGTGGAGATGGGAACCTCTAGTGTCTCTTGCTCTCCCTAGGAAGGCACTAATCTCGCCATAGAGGCTCCATCCTTATGACCTCATCTATACCTAATTACCTTCCAAAGGCCCCACCTACTAGTACCATCAGACTGAGGGTTAGAGCATGAACATAATGATCTAGGGGTGGGGGACACGAACATACAGTCTTTAACAACAGACAAGGCAGATGCCTGCAACTGTGATCATGGACAATAGCAAAAATGAAAGGTGATGTGCCAACAGTGAGAAAAAGATCTCATTAGATAACGATAACGATCATTGTCATTAAGCAGCAATCCACAATCAAAAGTAAGATACTGTGTTTTAAAGGAGTTGCTTGAGGAAGTCTCTCAGGGAGAAGGGAGTCAAGGAAAGTATTTCAGTAAGGCTGTTTGGTTAAGCCAGAACACTGGAGAGCACCGTGGCTTTTCATTTTTACACAGTGGTAAACTAACACTGTGCCATCTCATATTGGGAGTAGACCCATCCACATACCAATTACCCAGCAATCTTGGTTACAAATGCTGTCAGCATCAGGTGGTCATTCTCTTCAAGCAACAGGACCTGTACTGCTGCTGATATATTTGCTAGTGCTGAGGGTAGATACTTCTTATCCCTAACACGATGAAACTCCTAGAGAGTTAGTGATGGCTACCAGCTGTGTGTTAATTACAGTGGTCAAATAGAAGACCAGAAAATGAAGGACCAGGCCCGGCCCTACTTAGCATGCCAGGCTAGGCAAGATTTCCCATGTGGTCTCAGAACATAATCAAGGCTAGTGGGAACCCAGGTCCCAGGGGCCAAAAGCATGTTCTGCTTTGAGGTAAAATATTTGAAATGACTAATGTAGTGGCACTGCCACGCTAGCTCTAAAATGTGAACAGTAATAATTCAATTGTACAACTATCACTCATGAGTCCATGGTGACATACTATTCTCCATTAGTAGTTATCTCCTGACCTTACTAAATCAC